AAACAAAAAAACCCCGCAAAATATACAAGACATAAGAAATGAAAAATTGTTTGTTGATAACACGTATGTTGATGTGCTTGATTGAGCCAACAGACAGTGTATTTTGGATGAAAAATTCATTTTGTATACTGTATTAATGTTAAAAAAGAAAAAAAAAATTAATAAAGAAAAAAAAGAAAAAAAAAGACTTGTACAACTAAGAGGCCCCTTGGGAAAAAAAAAAAAAAAAAAACAAACCCTAGAGACTAGGGGAGAAAGAATTGAGACATGTCTCCACCCCCCTCCCGAAGTGATTTCTTTCTGATGAGCACTCACACCCCATAGTAAAAACTAAACAACAAAAAAAAGAAAACAAACCCTTAAGTTAGATACCTTTGACTCTTGGCTTGGTAAACTCTGTCAATTTTATTGATGTATCTTCTTAGTTTCCTCATCTGAAAAATGAGGATAATAGTAGCTACTTCATAGGACTGTTAGAAAGATTAAATTAGGTAATATGTATATATTAATAAATGAATAAACTTAGAAAAAAAGATCCTGTTGTAGCTGTTTTCTATCTTTGTTTTTCTCTTGCTCATAGATTAAAAAAAAGAAATTGGCAAGTTTGGAGTAGAAACCACTTTTGTGCCCTGTTTCTATATTTCTAATCAAATTGGCAAATCAGGGAAAAGGGAAGTTAGTAGCCTTTAAGCTTATTTTTGCTCTGTTCAAAAACCAAATACTTACTATTTTTAATGAACACACATGTTGTTATTAATAACTTTATGGGCTATTATTCTGGCATTACTACTAAAGCATTAAAATATTTCAATGCTAGACATATTTACAAAACCACAATGAAAGCTTAAAATGTCTCTTGTTCAAAGTATGATGCCAGTCTTTTTTTTTTTTTTGGAGAGGTTTTTGCTATAGGGCACGTGCGCTTGCCAGAGAGACAGACAGACAGAGAGATAGAAAGTGAGAAATCACCCCCCAGGGGGGATGGCCACGCCGTAATCCCTTCTCCTCCATCCTCCTCTTGGGATCTTGGGCACGCATGCACATGCGCCCGGCATGAGTTTAAGCCACTGGGTCCAGGACTTGAACCGTGGTCGACTATGTGGGAGTCCAGCGACATGGCCATTATGCTAACTGCTGGTCCCATATGATGGCAGTCTTTATGCTCTTATTCTGAGTTCTGAAAATGGACTATTAAATCTTTAGTAATTTTGTATTCAGGAATTTTAATCAGCCCATGGTTTTTAGAACCTGAAGACTAATCTGTAGTACACAAAGGCTCAAATAACAAGGAATTGTACATAATAACTTTTAATTTAAAAAAAAAAAACAGGAAAAGAAATGCAAAGTATTTCAGTGTGTTAAATGCATTACAGAATGTGTTTTATGTAAACCAAAGATAAAATGAAAAAAGGTTGTTTGACTACAGAGGAAACGATATTAAAAGGAAATTCAAAGTCATTTTTTTAAGTCACAGAAAGCACCAGTCTAACAGCTTGCTTTTCAGTGTTTCTCACAAGACAGAATGTAAACTAGAATGACTATTTTGCTTAGATTGGGTATAAAACCAGGCAAAGGAAATCTGATACTTTAGAATACTACACAAAATCAAACATGGAACAAACAGAACTTTTATTTACTTAGATATGTAAAAAGTCCACGTGTTTCGATAAGTACTAAAGGTTTTGTGTTAGTAAAGCTGGTTATTTCTTCCTTTTAAGATGTTTTTGACTTGAGGCATGTGCACTCAGCAGAGAGAGACAGAGATAATGAGAGGGAAGGTGAAAATCACCCCCAGGTTGGCTGGCTACACCACAATCCCGTCTCCTCTACTCTTCTCCCAGGATCTTAGGCCTCACGCACACACCCCCAGTTGGAGTTTCAAGCCACTGGGTCCGGGATTTGAGCTGTAGCTAGCGATATGGGAGTCCAGTGACATAACGGCTACGTCATCTGCTGGCCCCAAAGCTTGTTATTTAAATTTTTTTTAGAGATTTTTGCTATAGGACGTGTGCACTCACCAAAGAGAAACAGAAAGCGAGAAACCACCCCCTGGGAGGATGACCATGCTACAATCCCGTCTCCTCCATTCTCCTCTTGGGATTTTGGGTATGCATGCACATGTGCCCGACGCTGAGTTTTAAGCCACTGGGGCCGGTACTCGAACTGCGGTGGACTATGTGGGAATCCAGCGATGTAACCATTATGCCACCTACTGGTCCCTATACTTGTTACTTTTTCTAGATTCTTTCATTATGGTAGACTAATTGCTCTCTGAGGGAAAAAGTTAGAAGCTATGATTGCAATAGTTGTAAAATAGACTCATTTAAGCCTTAATAGCATGAATCAATTAGGTTGCTGGGAAAGTCATGATGTATTTTTCTATGCGAAAAATGACTTTTCCAACGAAATCATGACTTTCCCAATGACTCAATAGTAACTCATATCTCTAAATCTATTGAAATTTTGGTAGGTTTAGATGACCAGGTTAAAATGACTTTACAAAGATGGGCAGAGGGGTGTGGCCTGACAAAATGTCAATAAGCAAAATTAGGAAGTTACTGAATATACACTCAAATATAATTAACTTAAGGACAAAGTTCTCATTCATCCAGAAATTTGGAGGCAATACTCAGTGAGCTGAGGTAAAAGTTCTGGGCATTTTACTGCTCACTTACCTTTGTACATTGCAATTGGTAGAAGTGAGTTTTTATGTCACAAGTTAAGAACTATTTTTGTATAATATAAAACTTGACAAAATTATCTGCAGTCCATTTATTCCTGCCCTTATTGCTCCTTCCAGGAACACTCTCCTTTGGTGATCTCAGTAAATCTTTTCCACATAAATTGTTTCTTTAAAAAAGGACATTTTACTTTGAGCATTAAGAAGCAAATTATTAAGTAGTGCTTGGAATGATTAATTCTTGGTTGAAGGCAGAAGATATCCACATTGGTTTGAGGGTTTGTTATCTTCAGAAATCTTTCTGTAAATCTAAAATAGAATAGGTTTTTATCAAAAGATAGCAAAGGAAAATAAAACAAAGCCCATTTATTTTCACATTCTGATTTGCTTAATGCTTCCATTAAATTCACATCATGCATAAAGATTTGCTTTCACATTTGCTGAAGCCCACATTATGGGTTAAGCTAGTACAGAACAACAAGCACAAAGGACTTAATGTGGCCAGTTGGAATGGCAGCTTCAACAAGGCTTTCCAAGTTCAGAGTCATCATTGTTCATTCAATAAGCACATTTTTGAGTGTCTGCAATGCATACAGTATTATCTTAGGCATTATTCCTTATACCATCACACATTTAATTAAAAGTGGAGTGGAGAGGGAGTTTATATTTCTATAGTTTTCTAGTGTATGCACCAATCTTTTGAGTAATACTCTGCAGATTTTTCTCCCCCTTTGGCTTACACATATGCTCAGCTCTCTCCTATTGAAAGAATTTACCACTGCTATTTTCCTTGTGCTTCCTTCTAGTCACTATAACCAACAGGATTTAATTAGTTCCCTGCTGCAATGGACATTTGATAATCTTGTAACTTTCCTTTCCCTTGGCTTCTGTGATACTTTCTCTTCTATCTTTCATCTCACCACTTTTAAATTATTATCAAGCCTCAAGGATGGTTCATATTTGCACCTTTCAGGAATCTCCAATGCTACTGTCCTAATGCCAACAGCCCAACTGTCCTTTTAGGCTCTACTCTATCCTGTCTCTCCCAGTTTATTGTCAGATTAATCTTAGTTGAAACTATCAATTATGGCACTTCCTTCCTCAAAAATATTTAACAGCTTCCCTGTTCCTATTGAATTAAGCCCAAACACCTAAATCTGGAATTCAGGGCCATCAATACTTTGGCTTCAGCCTGCTACTTCAGATTTCTATCCCATCTCCTCCTGATACATTTTTTTCTAGATTAGCTGTACTACTTGATGGCCTTCAGAGTGACCTGATGCTTTCCTGCTTTTATGCCACTTCTCTTACTTCAAGAATGAATAACCCTTCTCCTGTTTTACCCCTGTACCCTTATTTCTCCTCAAATCTCTGTGGAACTCCTACTCCTAACTCAAAGTATGGCACTTTGGCATTGATGATTAAAATTCTTGTAGCAGCTCACTTTCTCATATGGAATCTCAGATTTAGTCATGTGAAATTTCCTTAACATTTTGTACTTCTATGTTTTGTATTAAGTTACTACTTTTAAAGGGCAGGAGGGTATAGTGTGGAATTAATCTTTATACAATTCATTTTTGTTTTCCTCTTAGCACTTGGCACAGGATATGTTTAATAAATGTGTATTGAATTTAATTAATAAACTGTTTTCAAAATCATTAAGAATAAATAAATCACTAAATATTTTTGTAAAGGCAAAAACTAGAGTTCAAAAATTGCTCATTGTGGGACCAGCAGTTAGCGTAATGGCTATGTCGCTGGATTCCCACGTAGTCGACCGTGGTTCGCGTCCTGGACCCGGTGGCTTAAAACTCACACCGGGCGCGTGTGCATGCATGCCCAAGATCCCGAGAGGAGAATGGAGGAGAAGGGATTGCAGCATGGCCATCCCCCCTGGGGGGTGAATTCTCGCTTTCTGTCTCTCTCTGTCTGGCGAGCGCACGCGCCCTATAGCAAAAACCTTCCAAAAAAAAAAAAAAAAATTTGCTCATTGGGACCAGCAGTTAGCATAATGGCTATGTCACTGGACTCCCATGTAGTCGACCGCGGTTCGTGTCCTGGACTTGGTGGCTTAAAACTCACGCCAGGGGGGACCAGCATTTAGCGTAATGGCTATGTCACTGAACTCCCATGTAGTCGACTGCGGTTCGTGTCCTGGACCCAGTGGCTTAAAACTCACGCCGGGCACATAAGCGTGCATGCCCAAGATCCCGAGAGGAGAATGGAGGAGAAGGGATTGTGGTGTGGCCATCCCCCTTGGGAGGTGATTTCTCGCCTTCTGTCTCTCTGTCTCTGTCTGTCTGGTGAGCGCACGCGCCCTA